TGTCACGCGCCGCGAAATTAGAAGGGGTAGGCCCTCGTTATGCATCACTTTTATAAGTTTTCTTAATTTCGTGGCGCGTGACAGTTGATGACCAAAATTGGTATTATTTCGGAAGGCGAATATTTCCTATTTGACGATAACTCAGCGCACAATACGAATATCAGAACCGTTCATACAGCGTTGGAGAGAGCTCGATGAGGCCTCTTCTATTCATCAATTGTCACGCGCCCCGTAATTACAAGGAATGATCCCTTCTTTGCACGACCCTGTAGATGGATCCCTGATCCCCGCGAGCTCACCAGTGGTGTTGTTGTGCCAATAGGACACTCCGCTGCCCTGCTCCCGTACCACACTCCATTCATCAGAAACAGGCACCACGATAGAGCTAGCCTCCTGCTGTCCCCGACCACCGTTGCGGGCCGAATCGTCAAGGAACTCCTCAATTTCATCATCACTAATATGACCGTTTCCCTCCTACAAGAGCAACACTCAGAGAGCTCCTTACTCGCCATCAGTCTGGCCTTACCCTCGACTTAGTTTTCCTCGCCAAGAGCAGGCCATTCACCACCTGTCTAAGGCCCGTATATGCAGCTCCAGTGTGGTCATGGTCTGTTGCCTCAGCCGGCCCCGAGGAGTACGACTCTAGTCGAATACGATGGGCCGGCACGTTTGACACAGAGCCTGCTGAGATGCAATATTATAAAGGACTTCCATCTGAACATTTCAAGTCGTCAACACTGATGAAAAAACGCCGATTACACCACGAAGTTCGTGAAGAGCAATAACCAGTGCCATAGGAAAATCCCAAAAACCTCGGATGTTCAAAGTCAACGCCCATGCTCACCAGCGTGTTTTCGAGAGGTAACTACGATAGGATCAGGCCCCTCCGCGATGAGCAAAGACCCTTTAGGGCCAACGTGCTGCCCTCGCCGCCAGTCCCCAGTCAGATGAGCTTCCCTATATCCATTGAACTCCATATTGCGCATTTCTTCCTGGTCCTGCAGATACAACGCCAAGAGACGGTCATTTTCAATCTGAGTTGCGACATCAGGCACCTGACAATTTCAAATCGCCACCAAGTTCACATAGTAAACTGTACCATCTCTGGAGGAGGTGGAGGGGGAATCTCAGATGGATCCCCAGAGAGTATATCAGGCGCTGAAACTTGAGGCAACGCAGAAGGCCTTTCAGACTCATTCGGCGACTCCGACCGGTCCTTCAAAGATGACGACAACAACACGGATGAACCTGAAAGCATCGTCGTATAACAGACATCTCAAAAGCCGGTCTTCGGTGTGGTGAAATTTGCACATGGTCAACCACATGTGTTGGTGACAATATGGAAAATTCTGGGAAATCCTTATTGGCTTATGCAAACTTCTACCCGAACTTTTACAATTAGTGAGGAAGCTCGTCAGCTGAGGGAAGCGAACATCAATTCCCCCACACTGCTATGATTATCAACACCACAAGCTAGCTTAGCCTCCACTGTCCACTAACAGCAATCCCAACTCACCTCGATTCCCACAGCCCGTGGCCTCTACCCGATTAAGCACTTCCTCGAGCATGTCAGCCAGTGTAAGTAGATCGCTCAACTCTACCGAGTCCTCCTTGCCATCCTCGAACGCTCTCTCAATGGTAGCCCGTAGCCGCGACCGGCCTGCTCTTGCCTGTAAGGAGAATCGTCAGTTTTTAAGTTACCAACTTCACCGATACCTCAGAATAATCTGCTTCAAATTTTTTCCTTGGAAGATTAGGAGTAGAGTAAATCTCCTTAACTGCGGTGCGCAAGCTCTCGACCTGAGTCGAATCTATTTGTCGGAGCATGCGGGACAACAACAGTATAAGCTAATGAATGAAGACTAGTGTCGGAATATCCGTTCGCTTTTCTCAGCTTACGAAAGTTTACACTCAAATTCTGATATAAATGCACAAAAACCAATACTAATCTCCCGAAATTTTCTCAGAATTTTCATATTGTCACCAACACATGTAGTTGACCATGTCCGTATTCCCCCACAGAGCGTCACCTCCGAGGGCGACAAAACCATCGCCTTCGTCTCCGCAGTGGTATGTTTCGTAGTGGCCAAACTAGGATTGAGCGCAGGCGATTCCTCAGCACCTGAACGCACCGGTGTGGGAAAATATGCATATGGGCAACTATATTTGCGAAAATTCTGATGAAAATTTAGGAATTTCTCATTGGGTTCTGAAAATTTACACCCGAACTCGTAAGTAAGTTTCTGAAATTAGTGAGGAAATCCCTGGACTCATCCATATTCCAACACTGCCTGAATGAACAACCACTTGCAATCCATATCTATCGGCCAGCGTGTTACCTTTGATTTGGAATCTCACAGTTTCATCACGAGCAGGGAACGGTTCTGAAGAACGAACATTTACCCTCTGGAGACACGGAGGTACTCCTTGCTGACCTTTGCGACGACGTAATTCCTTATACGCTTTAAAGAGGCTCTCCAGCTGCCCTTCCCGCAGTATAAATGCATCACACCACTCCTGTATTAATGAGAGGACTTTCGCCCTGAGGAATAATACGATGTTGGAGAGGGACGGGGAAATGTGCACAATATGAAAATCTAGAGAAAATTTGGAAAATTGACTTGTTGGTTTCTGTACACTCCTACCCGAAATCTTGGGGAAATTTTCATACTGCGAGGAAACTTCTGAACTTAGCTGAGAAAAACGAACATATATTCCAATACAAAATATAATAATTGTCCTATACCGCTCGCCTCCCACTTTATCAGTTTCCGCTCAGTGCCACTCGGTACTCGAACCTTCAATTGTGGTTGATACCACCACGGCACTGAAGCCAGTCTATACATATCCTTCATAAAACCCTGACAGAATATGCTTTCCCTGTCATCACTAAACTACAGTTCTCAGCGGAAAAATGTCGATCACCGAGATATCAACTTGAGGTGACAATTCTTGGAATAGACTCACAAAGATGTAGCTGTGAGGGCATGAGGGCTAGCGGCTTACATCGGACATATAGGTGCAAACAATATATCCACAATTCTTGACGAGCATTTCTAGGAGTGTTAAACAAAGTTGAATCTGAAATAGTAAACAAAACCACACAGGTGAGCAGTGCGAAGAAATACACATATGGTCAACCACATATGTCGGTGACAATATGGAAATTTTGAGAGGAAATGTTGGGAAATTATCGTCGATTTCTGTACAGTTCTAAGCGGATTCGTACATAAACTCCTATAATTAGTGAGAAAACTCCCGAGCTGAGCTGATAAAAGCGATCATATATTTCTCCAACACTGCAAGTAAACCTGTTACGTACATTGGGAGAATCGCCCATCTCGAAGTTGTTGCGAATCTCCAGCAGGACTTCAGGGATCAGTGCTGGACAGGACTAGCCAAGGAAAGCCTCTCACAGAATAAGGGGCCTTCGACTTACCGATACCATATCGCATATTGCTACATTAGCTTCCCAATTGATAGAGTCGCCACCTGAGGTAGGCAGACGTAGAGATTCAGTTACTATGCAGATCACAGTGCTTACCTACAGCTGCTGCTAGTAACATATCTAACCGGCTTGAATGCTGCATAATAATCAAAAATACAGAAATAAAACTCCTGTGTGAAATCACATATATGAAACTGCGGCATCTCAGAAATGGTTAATACAGGAGAGAATAGATGCGCTACCATTGATCATGATATATTTCTATCACGTTGACACACTATTATAACCTAGATATATTGGATTTTCACCGAGATTTACGCGTAAAACTCGGTGAAAAACGCGATATTCGCGGCCTGTAGTAGTCGTGAGATACGTTTTTCACTAGTGTTTTTTCATATCACTAGGGTTAAAGTCCAACATAGTATATGGGATATGGTTAAAGGCAATATTACCTAATAAAGTGAATATAATATACGGTAATGTTGCCATTCTTAATTATAAGGTTGACGTTGAGGAACATCATTATAACATAAATTTATGAACATTAATGTGTTTATATATTATATTCAATGTAAGTGACATCGCATCGACGATACACCTCAACCGTAATCCATCTGTCTTGCGGAACCTTCGCTAGCAGTTCCTGCATCAACACTCTCAGCGACACACCTCCTCGTATCCGTTCTTGCCTGGGCGTCACCATCACCAACCTCTATAACACACTCTCCAACACAAAGTCCACCAACCTTGAGAAAAAGCGGCTAAACAGCAACAATATACGCGAGTGAACTCAATCAACAACATTGTACACGAAACCTGCCAGACGATAGCGAATGAAGAACGCGCAGAGGCTCCATAGGCACTGTATCTATAACAAGGGGAGAAGCACGGCTGTCCTAGCCAGCACACACTTGAAATCATAAGCTCACCCCAAGCAGTATTTTATTCAGTTTCTTCTCATTAGTATCTCCCTTTAACCAAAGCACTAGGTTTATCAACGTCAAGTTCTGCACTCTGACTCGACCCGCCTCATCGCATTCAACCCTAGCCAGGTGACAGGACTGAATTACCATCAACGCGAGCTGACCTGCAACCATAACGAAATGAACCTGTTATACTTCACAAAGAAACATATCGTCACCTAGAGGCCTCAATTCCTCAACAGGATTGAACCAAGGAGTGTAACTAACGCTAAGCCTGTCAGTCTTCGGTTCGTACTGCGGCAACCGGTGGCGAGGGCATGGTATCAGCTTGAAAAGCTGTGGCGCAGAGTACCTACCGTTTAAGCACGTCATCGGCCGGTTGTGCTGTCATACGTCTCCCATTACAGAAAATTGAATATTTGGGGACCGAAAAACAGTAGAGTCTGAGGCAAGAAGAAGATTCGTTCAACTCAAGATTCGCTCAACTCACCGTCTTGGAACACTGCCCTAGTATACCACTAGCCGCCAGAGTCATGCCTGCGAGATAGCAGTAGGTGTCCCCCACAAACGCTACTGCGGGATACATATTAGCGACCATCAAAGGGAACGAGGCTGAGATGACAAGTAACAAAGTGAGATAGTCATTGCTATACCTCCGACAAATGGTAGAAGTAAGTAAAGGCTCATCAAGTGGCTCTCGTAGGGAGGCCAGGTGGCTGCCTGCTGAGCATGCCTGTACAGCTGCAGGAGGTCATTGAGGATGAGGGACACTGCTAATACCATGGACTGACCTATTTCTAGGCCGTTTATACCTATCATAAGAGGTCAATCTCACTGCAGTAGTACTAGAGGTAGTAGTAATAAGGATAGTAGTAGTAGCCCAGTGACCTCAACGACTATGGTGAGCCATACGGTTCATCTACGCGTGTGAGCAACATGAAACCCCCCACAATACTACCCGCTAGTATGTTTATGGCATTCGTGCAGAAAACCGACAACAACGACAGGAACACGTAGTAGAGCACACCAATGTCGATAGCCCCATGACCATCTCTGAGAGGTCCATACTACTCAATGGCAACGACAAACAGTACATTCCTTACGGTAGATACGGATGCATAAAATCCGGCAGTAAAACCCAGGTGTTTCCAATAGAGGAATAATATACTAGCAACAGTGGTAGGGTCGCGACTGAGGAGGAGATCATTCAGCTGACAGGTGATCAGCAATGACTACCTGTGGGTATGATGAGCTTGACGCGCCATGGCAGATCTAGAACGTTATCTGCGAAGCCAAGGAAACACATGGCGTTGATGGATAAGAGAGAGCCCATAAAGAGGCCTGAAAACAGCAAATTCACTTTAATGGTCCACCTCGCACTGATGTCGAATAACGCGAAGTTTAGACACTACTTAAAAGTCTTTCAGGAACATTTTGACGAACTGGTAGATTACCAACGCTGGTATGTTACTAACAATATCAAGTGATAAAGGCTTCAATTGCTCACGGCCAGTTAGGATTGCGGGGGCAATTCGAGAGATAGGCCGCTCCCTGGCTGACCTCCCCTACACGATGTATGCGCCCCAAAGACGACGTGCCCATACTACTAGCTTTCCTCTGGCTCATCAACTCCGCCTCGTCCATGGGTATCCCCCGTGAGGTAGAACACATCATATGGAAGGGCAGGAAAAGCGATAGTGCTAGGCAATAGACTGCTCCCACGCAAACGCCTGCGGCCTCTGGAATCTAGATAACGATTTAATCGGAGGCGAGGCATAAAGGGGTGAGGTGATGGTCACTTTTCTCACCTCAGGATGTCCTTTCTTATTGAGATCCTTCCCACATATGCCAGCCCTTCGAAGGGAGGCTAGAGCAGGGGGTAGGGTCTTATTGGTTACAACACCTATTGGTAACCATATCCTTCAGCTCATAAGTTGTCAGAAGCGAGCTGAGATTCCCTCCTGATCCTACATGCTAGTGCAGCCAAGACGATCGAAGCCATCATCTCAGTGCCACATAGTATGTCCGATGCTGGCACCGCCGCACAGAGAACCTGAGCCGTCAATCAAACACAATGCACCTCGTCTAGACTGAGAATGTATCCCCACCAAAACACGTAGGTCACACTAAGGAGTACTATATGACTACAAAACATTTCCAGGCCAAATTAAACTTGGTTAAATCAAACTCCTAAACTTTCAAATAAACCGGGATAATATTAATTTTGTCGAGCCTAACTAAAGCCATGGGTGAGATATTAACGAAAAAGGTAAAACGTTAACCAAGTGGGGGAAAATTGAATTTGCCGGTGGAAAAATAATTTGACCAGGAAATGGGAACTGTGGACTGGGGAGTTTATGGGACTGATGTGAGTTGATGCTGATGAAGATGAGGGTCTTGCAATAACGGTGAAGACCCAACCTTTCCTGGCTGTGATTATACGAAGAGATAATAGAGTCAGAAAAGCAGTGCGAGATTTCAATGTCTTTGTGAGATAGAGTTTTGCGGTGGGGCAGCTATGCCACCCCAAGATTGACCTTACTGAGATCTTACGAGGAGATTAGGAAGTCAGAAAAGCAGTTCGAGATTTCAAGGTCTTTGTGAGATAGAGTTTTGCGGTGGGGCAGCTATGCCACCCCAAGATTTACCTTGCTGCGATAATAAAGTCAGAAAAGCAGTTCGAGATTTCAAGGTCTTAGTGAGATAGAATTTTGTGGTGGGGCACCTATGCCACCCCAAGATTTACCTTGCTGCGATAATAAAGTCAGAAAATCAGTTCGAGATTTTAAGGTCTCAGCGAGATGGAATTCTGTGGTGGGGCACCTATGCCACCCCCAAGATTCGCCTTACTGTGATTATACCGAGAGATATTCCAGGCAGACAAGCAGTGTAATATTTCAAGGTCTCAGTGAGATGGAGTTTTGCGGTGGGGCACCTATGCCACCCCAAGATATGCCTAGATACAACCAATCCCACCCGCTCTTGACACAAGGTGATGACTTTAGTCCACACGACCGAGGTAATTCTAATGTGTGGATCCTTCGCGCTATTAATTAAGCCGATTTCTTTTGGGGCAGATATGCCATCACATGACTGAATACACACCAGACCTCCTTCCCCTAGCGAAATCGGTATTATTGATAACGAAGTTTGTCTCGGTCATTTCCCATCATCTTCTACGCGACCCCTAGACGCCCACAGATTGTAACCACGGGAGGAACCGGGGTGGCCTCTAGAACAGATAGGACGACCCTTTAGTGAACGACCATAACCCATTATATTACACCAGCAGCTGCTAATATCGCTATCTCAGCTGACTTGGACAGTGGTGGTGATGATGAGGGCATCGCGAGAAAGACGAGGTTGGATCCTGGAGTTCAGAAAATAAACTGCGCTTTGGAAGTCTTCACGCGCCACGAAATTCCCAGTTCTCTTAGCGCAACTCGAAGATTCCTATAGGCCGCTGTACTCAATAAACTGCGGATCGCTAGTAATTTGGTCGCTATCCTTATGTGCCGTCTTGGGTCCACGTCAGAGACTCCTAGTCCTTCGCGTTCCCGCCAGCATGGCTGTGGGGAATCCCCACTGGGGATCTATGTAGAAGGATCTACTCTCGCGATAGGCTGTCTCAATGGTCAGGAACTGACCGCAGCGAGATTGCCATGGGAATGACAAGGGAATCGAATATTCCTACACTTGCATGGTGTCAGCGTAGCCAGTAGCGTTTCCCAGCTGTGTTCTCAGGAGCTTACCAACAGACTAGCATTGGTTATATGATCCATATTTGTGCCTCATACGTATCATTTAGTATATAAAAAAGACCGCGGAGTGTGCGTGATCGGAACCACACCCAGATATAAAGTACTTCATCCGCCGGTATGAGACTGGCGATATTGGCTACGTGGTAGCGAGCGGCATGCTGGAGGTATTTCAGCTCCCGACTGGCCAACTTGTGTGCAAATCTGTAGTCGATTGCTTGTGGGAGATTCCAGACACGAAGAGGAAGGTCTCCGCTTCCATTCAGTCGAGCATCATTCCAATGACGGATGTTTCCACTTGCCTCAACGCGATCGGGCACAAGGTTGATCAGCCTGCCTCGAGCAACTAACCGATCGAGGGTCTTGTATAAACCATGGTAGAGAGAGCTCTGTCGTAACACCGAACCATATCGAGTTGATATCATCGCATCGCGAGTTCTGTCTGGAGACTACCTCCAACTTGTACTCTCGAGCCAGCGTGGATGGTAATAATGTAAGCGATGAAAGCCTCAGTTTATTCCTGATAGGTTTCCCGAGTGATGGGGTTCTCCATAGTGGCTTCGCCGGCCAGATACGAGCGTCAAGTATCAAGAAACGACTGAGTGCCGTACAGTGCACTCGCAATTGTTTACAGTGCCTAGTTCGTTTCAATCACAATCACTCGGAGTTGTATTGTTCTAATGGGTCCCGGTTGGGGTAGTTAAACCTTGGGCTGGTCATACACCTCTGAAAAATACTTATAGTGGGGATACTAGGGGAAGAGGTCCTGGTTAAGTGCCACTATGCAGGTGTTGAGACTCAGAATGAACGGCAATCCATCGTTGGTAGACCTCCTCGACTCGATAGAGGAAGAGTATTATCGCTGTCGACTACAAACAAATGACGACAGCGTCTTGGTGAATAAGAATAAGGTCTATCGAGTACTACAGAGAGTTTATCGTATCTTACTGAAGAAAGTCGACTTCGGCACCGTCGTCTGGTCACAGCGGGAAGGTGAGTGGCTAGCTGTTTTGCGCTGGTGGGGATGCAGCAATCACCGCGACACTGGTGAGAGCTCAACTTTCAATACTGACGGGTCGAACAAAGAGGAAGGAATCGACTGGGATGATCGATCGAGTCGACTACAAGCTGAGGCATTACGGTGAGCTACTGCAGGGAGGCCGTCAGCTGGGGGAGGCCGTTGCTCAGGTGCTACTCTACAATCGTACGACATGCTGATACGGGTCATGTATCCTCGGCGTGGCTCTTGGATACACTCGACTGTCCTGGCCTGCTCACACTGTGTATGATATGCGTATCGATTCACTGCTGATGCCACTCCTAGGCACAAGCGGCAAGTCACCGTATGTCCGTCGGGCTGCTGTCCATGCATGTGCTGCCACTCTCCGGCGTGCGCTAGAGAAGCCCAATAAAGGAGGCCGACGAGCTCACATTACTCCTCAATACAGTAGGGACACGCTGAAGTTATTAGTTGCTGCAGGAAGGTAGGAGACCGGTGCCTTATCTGCCCCGACGAATGACACAGGTTGCTGGATAGCAGAGAGCTGCTAGACCGTCGTACTGCGATATCGGCTGGTTCGGAGCTCGCTGGTTTACTGCCTCTCGTGTTCCCATCGGGAAAGGAAATTGATATTGGAAAAGTGAGTATGGTCATGGATGGATGGTTTAACATCTACTGCTATCAGAGACACACACTGGGTGCTGCTCCAGCTGAAGAAATTCAGAGTTTCGCATTGAGGCTCCTCACTTGTAAGTTCAAGTCCAGTGAAGACCAACTAGCCGCGGCTCGGGCGAGCGCTAATGTTGCTGTATGCTGTCCTACTGACACCGACAAGGCCCACGATGAGATCTTCAAGCGAATCATAGAAATGAATGAGGAACCCGAGGATGAGTCCATAGGGTTGGTGGACGCTGCACATGCCTGTCTACTGCTGGGAGATGGTTTGGAAGGGCTGGCAGCCCGCTACTTGAGGGACTCACTCAGGAGCACCGACAAGGCCGTGAGGGCTCGGGCCTTCAGTGCTGCTACTCGGACAAATCGCAGAGTCTCCTGTCTGGTGCCTGCCTTGGTCGAATACGCTAGCTTGCGAGAAGCCGCTGCTCCGGTGCTCTTCGAAACCATCGCTAAGCATTTGTCTGTTGATACCTTGTCGGGAATTGACGCCTTGCTAGTCGCACAAGCTGAACAGGCGGCGGCTCTCCGTCATGCTACAATACCGGAGATTTGTGCTCAGCGGGGAGCGGTATTGCCTGTGAGTGTCCGTGTAATTGACATCGAGGGGGCGCCTGCTGCTCTCAAACGGCTGGCGGCTCGCTTGGTGTCTGAATGCCTCCAAGATGGACGGTATCAGCCATTGCGCATGCATGCCATCGACGAGCTCGCCAAGTGTCCTAACCCTCCTGATATCCTGCTGGACCAGGCCTTGAAGCCCTGCGAGGAGCTGCGAAACCCTAAGGATCGAACGCTAGGTAAGGTCGCCATAT